AGCTAAATTTAACTTTACCCATCCAATAAAAAAGAAATAAGGGAGCCTTTATTATCTCCCTGGATTTCTGGGTATGATACCACATCATAGAGAAGTGGTTATTAGAGACAATGGCCTACCAAGGTGAAGTTTGTAATAAAGCCTATTATGTGGTTTCACCATTGACACTAATGGAATGTAACAGTGATTTAGAATGATTTAATGGTTCCCAGGTTGTGCTCTAATAGTGCTCTTTATATTATGATGTATATCACAAAACCTAATGTGGCTGTTGTGATATATTGACAGTATTCATGCTGTTTCATTTTTTTAGGGGAATTTTAAAAACTGTCAAAAAAGAAAATTAATAGGTTGCAACTGCATTTTTTTCAAGGGATCTGTTTTTAAATGTATGTGCATAAATTTCTATTTGGTGCCATGCTTAAGCTAATAAATTCATTTGCATTTTTATTCCAAAGTCATAAAAGTGGAATGCATGCATGCATGCATCCATGTGTGTCTGTGTCTGTGTGTCTGTTACTGAAACCTTGTTTTAAAAAGATAATCTTAAAATTTGTTTTAAAAATGGCTTTAATGGTTTCAAATGTTCGTAAAAGTGGAGCGTAAAACAAGTTTTCTCTCCACAGCCTGCAAAACGACATTAATTTAACAAAAGAGAGACAGCAGGGGGTATGACTATAGATTCACTCAAAAAACATCCAGACCCTTATGGGTCAGGGGAGTTTTAGACTTGCATTTAAAGTCTGAAATTTAAATAAGTACAATAGAAACAAAGGAAAATGTACTAGAACTGAGATACCTTTTGAAATTGTTTGTGGGCTTTTCAGAAATGCCTGACCTATTAGCTTTAAGGCATTTCTAGCTTCAAGTAGGTTATGGAACAGCAGGAATTTTCTTGCATTTTTAAAATTTGCACCCTCTTTTTGTAATTTAAAAGCATACATCAAGAAATATCATTGCTCAAAAGACCAACACATTCCAGGTGTGATGATGAGTTACCAGTGAAAATGCCCAAAGAACAGAGTTCTCCCCAAAAAGAGTTTCATACCTGGCTACCCTGTGAATGCTGAAGCAAAGGTCCTTGGCATTTTTTCTAAGTGCTTCCTTCTCCATTCACAAGACTTCACTTTTTTTTTAAAATTAGTTTCCTACACTTTCATTTTGAAACCACACACAGATCTTTTGGAAGGCAAAAGAAGGTAGGAGCCATGAAACTGATTGTTGATGCCTTGATTTCCTCATTAAACATGGCAAAGGGAGCAGATCTTCCACACCAGCAGGTAGGTGCTGCTGAGACATCACTTGCACTGCTCAAATGGAAAAAAAAATCCATGTGGATTCATGTTGCACCCTCCTTTTGGAGGTCCAAAAGATCATAATTAATTTAAATTACCCAGCTGAATTTACCCCAGATTGCATAGGTTCCTATGATGATTTGAGTACCATCCCTTAAGAGGGAGAGAGTCACCATGGTCTACAAGGGAAAGTGATGTGAGTTCTCAGAGAGGACATGGGTGGAGGTGAATAGCTTTTGGTCTGTCATCCCCATGTCAAGAATTTCTGGAGCAGAAAGAACTTGCTCCTGCAAAGAGCCTTCTTTGCCAAGCTCTGCCATTTACATGGCACTGGCTAATTGCTCGGTTACAGGGCAATAACACAACACTTGTCATATCCTGCTTCAGGTTAGCTTGCTTGTAGGGATTCTGTAGTGTTTGGGGTTTTTGTTGTTGTTTTTTTTTTTCCCTGTGAAAACACCAGGTTGTGATAAAACTGCTTGTGAAGAGTTCAGCTGGAGCACAGCCAGCCATCGCCTGATGGGATCACAGCCTGCATTGCGTGTGCTTCTACCCTCATGGCAAGGGAATTCACTGAGCACAAAAGGACAACTTTCCTCTTTCTCTGATTCATCCTCTAAAACTGTCCACAAAACCATAATTTTTCAAGTGTAAAAAGTATCTACAGGCTGGAAAATGGGTTTATAAATAGAACCTTACACTGAATAATGACTTTGGGGCACTGAACTGAGAGAGGACAGGCAGAATTTTGGAGAAAGTCATTTGGTTTTGACACTGAAGTTATTTCAAAGTTATAAGCAAGATATTTCTCAGGAGAGGTTCTCTCTTTTTTCCTTTATTGTGTCATCCCTGTGGAGAGCTTTGTGGAATCATGGAGAATCAAATTAGGGAAAATGCCTGTTATGTAACCTCATGGTTCTTTAAAATACTGGAAGCATCACTATCACTAGAGCTTCATCCTTCCCAAAGTTTATGTACACCACATGGAAAGTGGGGTCAGGGAAAAGTGGAGACCATATAATGAAACATAAAGATAATTTTTATAGCAATGCATAGAAATTTGCATAATTATCATCCCATTTTGACTTTTTAACTTTCGAGAATCTATGTGGGTCAGTTTTCCCTGTTTTAATTAGCAAAATCAAAATAACAAAAAATGGCAATTTCCTCCTTTCAAGCTCAAGTGGACTACTCAGCCTGTAGCAATAATTATATTTTTCAAATGTGAGGTGCCTAATTTAAAAAAAGAGATTCCCAGTAGTTGCACAAGTTTTAAGGACAAGAAGTGACAAAAGCAAGGAAGCCTTTTGTTCTTATTGCTTCCCAGCCAAAAGTCCTCTCAACATGTAAACTTTATAGGAATTATGTCATTCTTGTAAATAAATTTCTGTGTCAATATTATTTATTGGAAAATATTTTACCCACTGGGGTAAATGAAGAGCAAGGCTTATTAATCAGATTACTAGCATGCTTATTCTAATTTATACGTTCCATAGTTAGCCTTTAAGCCACAGTTGACCTCTTATTTTTTATATTAACTGGAAACCATTCATCAAGTGAGTTACCCCTTTCCTTTCAAATCCACTTGTATTACTAAAAGGTTGAGTAAAGACCTCTGGGGAACAAGGGCAATTTTTGACATGGATCTCAACAGATTAAACTATGCAGGGACAATATAGAATACATTGGAGCAATAACATTATCACATCATAGCCTGATTGAGAGGCATTTCCTTGCATTTTTGTCCTTTTACCATAAGCCAATAGTAGCCACAGGCATTTGACTGGAGAGCCCGGAGGATTGACAGGCCTGGCAGTCATTACACGCTGGATTGAATACTAGATTACTCCAAAGTGGCTCAGGGTCAAGGATCAGTGTGTTCCCTTTTGGCACTAAATGACTTTAATATCCTTACTGTATTAGTCAATTACTTTAAAGCTGCTGCTCTCTGAGCTCTCTCTGCCCCCCTGCAGTTTACTATGGACATTTGAATTGCTCCCATACTTAACCCACACATCTGCTTTTAGCTGTCAAAAGAATAGTGCTACCACTGGAGCTATTGACAATGCAAAATGAACAGAGATACTTGCTGTCAGTGTCAAGTGGCACTTTCTTTCCATTGTTTGTTTTAAACTCCCAAATAATGCCTAAGTTCCTAACTTAGGAAGAGTCCGATGGTGGTTTACAGCCTACCTTTAATATAGTCTCAACATGACCAAAACAAGCAGCAGTAAACTATTCTGTCCACACAGTTAGTTGTTTCTTGGGGGTAAAAAAATGTTTTCCAAAGAGCTGAAGTGCTGCGGTAAAGCACAAAATGAAGGGTTGCTTTCCACCCTTGCTTAAATTTCACAAAAGTCTCTGTGACTATAGCAAATTGCACTGCACTTCTGAATTTATTGGTGCAACACAGTGAAGAATTTTATATCATGGCCACTGAACATTAAAAGGTCTGGCTTGGCTTGATGTTAAACCAACATGTCTGGATTAAATATGAGCAGAACTGATCTGAATTTTAAAACTGCTTGAAAGTCATGCCTTTAGTGTTTTAGTGAAAGTGATATCACTGCACATGAAAGCACATCTGTGCTGTGGGGCCCAACTTGTGTGTGGTGATGTCATTGGGTTAAAAAAACAACTCAGGACTTTACAGCTAGATTCATATAGAAATAATTTTCCTTTACGAATATGCCGATTTTCATCTGCATGAAGATAAATGGGCACTGCATCTTACTGGGAGAGCTCTCGACTGTGTGGTTTGGTGAACCCATGTTTCATGCACGCAGCCACATTTTTCCTCTTTTTGTATTAAGCTATAACATGGGTATAAGGACTAGATGTTTTGCTATTGTGAAAAATACAGCTAGTGTTTTACAAGGAACAGCACCATGCCTATTGCTGCATGTATTAAATTGATCTGCTTTTTGGACAATCCAAGAAAGGTCTGTCATGGCAAAGTTACCTTTCTTTTTCTTCAGTGAACTGTTAAATATCTCCATGAACAAGGGCTTTGGACTCTTCATTTAGTGCCTGAAAAAAAAAAAAAAAAGATTTTTCATACATGGTAGGTGTGACACAGGTCATTGCTATTGGGACTTCTAAAAGATATGATGTCCAGGCTGCCCAACAAATTTAGCAGCATAGTAACCACTCTGACCTGTTTGCCAATGACAAAACCAAAGGAAAATATAATCCACTGTGTATTGTAGGCTTCTGGAGGGCTTAGACAGTATCAGAGACATTTTAGCTCCTGGCTTCAGCAGTCTTTGTATTTCACTGGAAATTAAAATTGCTGTGTTAGGAAGCAGATGAAACAACATTTTGAAAAAAAAATCTTAATCTCAATCTCAAAGTGCATGTCCTTGTTATTCAGGATCTTTAGGCAAATAAATATACTGTAGGTAACAGCAGCAACCGAAATGCAGATATATGATCAGTTCCAAAATACATGCATATGTGCATATTTTTCAATACACAGCTACTCCAGGAAGGCAGACAGACAGTATGCCATGGACAGTAATATATATTTCGTTTGCAGTGCCCCTCAACTCAGTGGCTAAGCATAATGAATGATGCCTTGGGGAATGCTCTGAATAATTGTGCTAATTTAAAATTTAGTCAGCAAAGGACCTTAAAAAACTTGATACCTCTTGGTAATGATGCATCATTAGCACTTTTCATTCATTTATATTTTGTTGTGTTTAG